CTGGTCACGTGATATAATTGCTATGAAATCCCTGGATCGCTTAGCTAACCTAAGCATCCCTATCTGCTATAAGTATTCTGGTAGTGCTTGACCTGTCAGGACGCCGCCTGGTCTTCGCTAACCACGTGCTAACACGTGATTCGTGACACTGGCTGAGACTCGGCTAAGGCATGGCCCTTGGCGCCACCTCCTGTATTTAAGAGCCTCTGGCTCTTGAGCTTCTGTCCTTCCTTCTCTTCTCTCCTTAGCTTAGAATCTTCGAATAGACAGTTCTACGATTCCATAACCTACACCTTGGACGCTCCTTGAGCAACATATCGTACGTGTCGTCACAGAAGGCTCTAAATTTAGGAACCTTAATAAGTAAGAAAGCTAGAGAGTATACTATAATAACTTAAACCTAAAGGTATTTAAGGATCTTTAGATTAAGAGAATTACTATTACTAGTACTAATTTAGCGCTTTTTCCTTATATTTAAGGTAGCTAAAATCATAGTAGTATTAATAGCCTATTCTATATTACACGCTCGATTTTACCTTATGCTATCTTCTATAATTCGATAGACGTTAAGTAAATACTTTGTTATAACTTATATACTTAAAGTTATAAGATACTATTATATATAGTATTTATAATTCTAGTAAAGCTTTCTATTATTACGGCTATAGTATAGTATAAGGAGGTCTTCGAAAGGTATATAATGTGACCGTGTGGAGTGAACCACTGCTTGCTGTGATGAATACGGAGTCAAACGGAAACTGCTATATAGAGCGAACAACTAAGTGAGGAAGGAAGAGAGTTTCAGAGGAACAGAAGCTTATATACAGGCTGCCAGCAGCACGCACGTGCCGTGCTGCTACACGTGATCTGCCCCCAATTCCTCCAACTCCGTAACATATAATACTAAATCTAGGAGGTTCGACTACTATATATACTTTTTCTCTTCCTCTTATTTAAATTAGAGCTAGGTATATCCTTATCTACGAATTATAATAAGAGTTCGTCTAGGTCGTCTATATCGTCCTCGGCCGTAGGTTCGTTATTAAAGGCTACTAAGTGCTCTATATTATTAACCTCTTAATTAGGTAGTTCGATAGCGATTTTCGGAGTAGGAGGCAGCGTAAATAATAGACGTACTTAACAAGTCTTTTCCGATAGCTTATAAGGTCTTTCTAACCTTCGAGGAGTTAGTAGAGGCTCCTCTAAAGGTATCGTAGTAATAGAATAGCTAGTAGTAAAGAGGTGGTTTATATAAGAATCTTATAATAAGTAAGGTATAATAGAGTAAAGTTTTTAAGGTAGTAGGCTAAAAGCTAATTAGATTACGAGAAATTATAATATTTAGCCTAAAACTGCTAGGCTAGTAGTTAGACTTTCCGATATCTAGAATACCTACCTAAAACCCACTTAAAGCCTACTGTCACGAATCACGTGTTCACGTGATACCTGTCATAATAAGAGGCGCAACCCTCGAAAGGCACATCCAGGTTTCTTATAGCAAATAGGGATCGTTTGGAGTAGCTAAGCGATCCAGGGATTTCTCTGCATCCTTATCACGTGATATTAGGAGTTCGCCAGTTAGCCGGGCGAACAGGCGAAGTTAGCCAGTTCGATTGTCGAACGAGCGAACATCGAGAGAACGAAGGTTCTATATAAGACTGGNGGCGAACAGGCGAAGTTAGCCAGTTCGATTGTCGAACGAGCGAACATCGAGAGAACGAAGGTTCTATATAAGACTGGCACGTCTGACATTAGATAGGAGCTTCGTGCTCAACTTAGTTATCAACTTAGTTATCTTA